TATTTTTAACATCTAACCTCTGATTTCCCGCAAGAAGAAAAAGAATTTCAAAGATTCTGTTGTTCCTTATTTACGAGCAATCATTTGTCAAGTAACAGAATTTTTATTGATCATGTACAAGCGGAAAAGTTTGATTTTTGTTGTAATTCATTAATAGTCAATGTAGATGTTGAGCCTTGTGGAACACTTGGGCGAGCCTCCTGCATATGTACAAATTATTATAAAACGTATTTAATTGCTTGGCACTGCAACATGTCTAATACATAATACAATCTAGTGCGCTTGTAAATCGATTTTATTGGTTTCGTTTAAAATTCATGAATGAATTTCGCCAGTGTATTTCATTTTGTTACTCTGTTATTTCGTTTATCACTTAGTGGTACATTATTTCCATTATCGTGCTAGTTCTATTTTATCGAAGATCATTTTTGTTGATACAGTCCAATCTTCGTACAAGATACCACAGGGACTGCAGGGGAATAACATACCGAGTATTACGTATCCCCCACTTTATTGGGAGGGGAAAATATTTTGATTTGATATTCTTCGTACAAGATGTTAAACAAGATTTATTTAGCTATTTCCATTATTTAAGATAATTTGAGTACACTTCCTGATGTGAAATACGAATGTTTGATTGGAAGGTACTAGGGGGCTACGCCCCCTGCTCGCTCCGCTCGCCAACCCCCCCTGTATGGCCATCATGATCCTTATTCTGACCCTTAATTTGACCCTTGTGATCTTTAATCTTGTGACCCTTAATCTAAACCATATAAACCTTAATCTCATCCTTGTGACCCTCATTTGGACCCGTATTCTGACCCCTGTGATCCTTACTCTAACCCTCGTGACGCTTATTGTGACCCTTATTTGGACCCTTATTCTGACCCTTGTGACCCTTACTCCGACCCTCATGACACTTATTTTGTCCCTCATGACCCTTGTGACTTTTACTCTGACCCTTTTACTCGTGACCCTTATTCTGACTCTAATAACCCTTATTTTAATCCCTGTGACCCTTAATTTCGGATTCTTGATTTTGAGGACCAAATTTTTATCAACAAAAGTCGATTTGGATTTTTATGATATAACGAGATTGCTCCTTTTCCAAATAACAATTTAGAAATTCGGAATAAGTTAGTTTTTTAATAGTGGCCTGCGAGGAAAAATTGAAACTTTCATTGGAATGTTGATCTTCATAAAAGTTGGGTTGAATTATCTTGTTTTGTCTATCTATACATTTAAAAATGGAAGTAAAACACATGATGCAATACATGTAAAAGAAAATAGATATTTTACTAAGTTTAATGAATGATGCGTTGAATTTTTTTATGAACTGCAACGAGTGCCCATGCATTTTGAAATTCAATTGATTCAATTGATTGAATTCAATTGATATATGCAATTAAGATGTTTCGTGTCAAAGTCAAAGTAATGAAAACAAAAAGTAAAATTCATGGGAGAAATGTCTGAGTATGCTGCATTATTGGGAATTTTTGCTTTTTTTTAGATCTCAGTCTGAAGAAAAAAAAAAATGGAATTTCGATGTTTTTGTAAACTCTCCAGCTATAACCTCCGGGTTACCCCACTCTCAATTAGGGATATTTCCATGGCACCCAAAAAAATGGTGCACTATTGAGGAAAAACTAGTGGGTGATAAATCAAATCTTTCCTCAGAACACGTATAAGTTTCAGTTTTTTTTCAGGTTTCATAAGAAAGTTATTTGAACAAATGATTCGGAAAATTCTGAGTTTCGGGGCAATTACGCCCTCACGCGCAGGCGCGTGATTCGAATGTCAGTGAGCATCATGGGAAAAGTATGGGTTGGACCATAGAACTGAGAGAGAAAACACTCGACAGGTTTACCAACTCGAAACGCATTTGAATATCATTTCAATAATTAGAAAAACATCCAATAAAAATTATTTGACACTCGTAGGTGATGAGAAAACAATCAATCAATCCGATAAATAAAATCAATATTCAAAAAATGTTCAAATGCACATTTAACCCCTGCCTGGTCACCAAGCGCCACCCGGCGACTCTAGTCACTTTCGCGGGGATTCCCCGCCGTGTCAATTTAGGCTCTAGCGTTACCGAATTCACTCTACACTGCCCGGGCGCGTTTAGTGAGTTTCTCGCAACGTCGTGTGATGGGCAATTTCATTTGACATGGGAAAAAATAATTCGTCTGATCAAACTAAATTCTTTTCTTTAGGAATTTTGGGAAATATGTTGTTCTAAAAACTACTATAATTCGTTCAACACTTCAATTGACAAAGTCAATTTTTTTTTATGTTTCCGGTTAATTGAACCAGTAACTTGTAATTCGAAAAACGATGCGCGGCGGGCCTTTCCTCATATGGTGACCAGTCTAGGGTGAAATAGTTACTTGAAAATTGGAAAATTTCGTGCTCAGCGATTGAATCAGGGCTCGAGAACAATAAGACTCCTCTTCCGTTTCACCTCCCGATGATCAACACACGAAACACCTAAAATTCTAGAGCATAGATGCATATATTATTTCCAATAATTTCTGGAATATCTCAACTCCATTCCCACTCAATTCTAGCCCCTCTGTCGAGTATCTTGTACAGAGAATAGGAGACAAAAAACATTCAAGCCAGAAAGTGGGGGTATCACTCGGCACTGATGCCCTCCTAGTATCTTGTACGAAAATATCTTGTACTGAGACTGAACTGTATTTCATTGGTCTCAAGGGTGAGGAGGTTTCATTTCAGTAATTTGTCGCTTTTCATTTTTCTCATTTTTTATTGTGTAATTCTTCTCATAATATGCGTGTACAGCGATCTGTCGTAGGCATTTGTAGTAATTCAAATTCATCCTATTTTTTTTCAGGTCTCGGCGCTTTGTTGTTTCATTACTAAAATTTATCTCTTAATTATCTCACGGTTCATCATTTTTTTCTTCAATTATTTTTCTTTGCTTCTCGGTATGCATTTACGAAGAAGAAAATTATAATAATAACTTAATTAATTATTTCACTCGAACGGCCCTACGAACATATCTTTGGTGTACTGCTTCGGGGGGAAAGAAAAATTCATTAGAAATAATATTTATAGTGTGCGCCTATTGATTATGCATTCAGCTGGGGTATTTCGCGGCACGACGAGTTTTACTTATTCATCTCCAACGTCTTCATTTTCCACGTGAAAAAAATCGCTTTTCTTTTTCTTCACCTCCCGTTCAATACTCACATAAATTTTTTAACATTTGTTTTCCATCCTTCGATATTTAAAAATTCATTAAAAATTTACACTTACAAATTTCTCCATCTAAAAATGATTCTTCTCATAACTTTTACAAAAACATCTCATTCACCAATTCCAGCCTGTTGAATCATTGATTGACAAGGAGGTCTGCCAGACATGTAATAATTAAAAAAGAAAGGATAATTGTTACTGTTAGGCGGAGTCCTCAAAGGCACCTCGAGGCTTATCTGAGAGCGAGAGAGAGAGAGAAAGAAAAAATTATTCTGACGTCCTGCGTCAATGCTAAACTGTCTCAACCTTAATTGGCTAACAACGGGTGAAATTGGGCCTTAGATTCGACATATTAATTAACATTTTGTAAAATAACCTGCCTACAATTTTTTGTAATCTTTTACTTGTTTTTTTTATTTATTCATCTATTTATTATTAATATCTAGGATCATCCTAAGCGGGCATATACTTCCGTACACACTTATAGCCTATGAACACATGAAATCACTGCCCCCCCAATCGACCAAAATTTTGGACCCAATTGGACAAGGCACTAAAGGCGTATTGTCCCTCTCCTCTGAAAGCAGAAGAATTTAATGAGCCAAAAGTAAGACGATCTTTCAACAATGGACGTAAATAATTCAGTGGTTATTGAATCACGATTTTAAAAAAATATATTCTTGAACCAAGAATTTCTTTTTCCCCTCGTTAATGATGCAAATTTCATTAAAATAAAGAAGCTCACTAGTGTCTCAATTGAATCAGGATGAATGACAGGGCAGAAAGAACAACTAAATCTACTTAAGACAGAAAAAATAAAATCGGTGGAAAGTCGGTTGGTCCCTTTGCAAAGTGTTAAATAAATAATAATGTCCATTTTTTTTTCATTTCTCTATAATTACGTAACATTATTTACAGGAGAACCACGATCAAGACATCAAGTAAAAAGTCATATTGTCATTTATTTGGAGATGATAACCACTACTTCGTGGTTAGAGAACAGCCAATATGGCGTGGGGGGAAAAAATAAAGAGGTGATGGTTTGTTGGTTTTCCACTCTCTGTCTTTTCTCGGAGATTTTTTTATTTATTCATTATTCGAAATACTTTAGTCTAGATGTTATCCTAATCGTGCAAACTACGCTTCATTTCACTAGCTGAAGGAATCAATTGAATAAACCGATGGCGCCTAACGGAAACTACGTAATTCAGAAAATATTTCCGAACTCAAGTATCTCAAGAATATTGACTGAAACTTTGTATCTCAGAGATGACAGAGACCAAGTATCTCGGAGCAAATTCAGAAATACGTAACTCAGTAACTCCAATTAAATTCCGTCTACATCGCCCGATACCTTTGACACTTGTAATACCACAAGAGCTTCAAAATTATCAGGTATTTTCCGATAGGTTCGTTGCAAACAAACGAAGGAGTCAAGTTTTTCAGGTTAAGAAATCACGAGTGCGAAGCATGAATGATTTTTCCTGAAAAATTTGACGACTTCGTTTGTATGCAGAGAACCTTGAGGAAAATGCCCGATTAATTTTGAAGCTCGTGTGATATTCGGGGGATTATTTTTCCAATCCAAATGTCGGGCAATATAATTGGACCATGAGACGAAACTCACAATTGAGAAATGCAAATTGTATAATTAACACAACGACAATTGAATTCAATCTGTCAGTTTGACGAGGGGTTAATTCGACTGCATGATCTTTTGTTTTTTATATAGCAACTACCAGAGAAAATTATGAGTTGAAAACCCTGTAGCTTGTACCACGTGATGTCGAATGGGCCAATCATATTGCCCGATATTTGGGTTGGAAAAATAATCATTTTTATTTTAATTCCTCGGATAGAGTTCCTGCGGATATTTTCATATACTTCTTTGTTTGGGGAATATTTCACACCGGTCGTCAGTTCTCAGAAAACCAAACCTCTCATGGCTTTGCGAGTATTCAATGAATTTAGTGATTAGTAAATTGTTGTCATCTCATTTATTTTAACATTAATTTTCATGTAGTTGGGTAATGAAGGGATTGGTGAATCATTTTGAAACTACTCATTCATTTTATCTAATTGGTTCTTTGCCACTCTATTCATTAATATCTACGAGAAATTTTTCAATTATTGATATTAGTATTTCGGCATTAGCTTTCGGTATGAGTGGGTAACTAGGGATCAGCTAATCGTGATCCCTAAAAGATTGATAGGCTTGATTCATAGAAATCATGAACGATTTCCTCAAGCAACAAGAAAAACTGCAACAATTTGGGAGCAAAGGATTGACAGCTCTGAATTTTATTCATAGGTTACTAACGAAACTAAACGGAGATTAATCAGAGCTCCTGAGTCACGTGTTTCTGAATTTTCACTGAGATACTTGGTTTCTGTCATCTCCTCTGAGATACAAAATCCAGTCAATACTCATGAGAAATATGGTTGTAGAAATGTTTCCTGAGTTACGTAGTTTCCTTTAGGAGCGATCGAAACGATCTCACTCATTGATGATGAGTCGTCATTGTTTCTTTGTTTTTTTTAGTTTTTTTCAAACAATATTCAATCTCTTTACACAATTTATTATCGAGTATTGAACTCGTTATTATCGACGAGCAAGGTCAATCCCGGTTTTTTTCATCATAAAATTTGCGGCAAAATTATTGTTCTTGCCAGCAAAAAGACAATGAAAATCGACAAGAATTTAAAGATGATTTAAATTAACTGGGGAATTGTGTTTTAGGCTCGACGGGATCGACCTTGATTACCGTCGTTAGTCATGCAGATTTTTACTTAGTAAAAGATTGTTGTGGGGCCCTGACAAATGCCTGATGAGCTCCTGAAGACTGTCGAAACTTAATGAACAGAAGCAACAGGTGAACGTGTTGTCAGGGGCTGCTATGACCCCTCTGTGAACTGAGCACAAGTGTTTTAATAGGTGGGCTTTTTGCTTGAACATGGCGACACAGAGTCGACAGGCAAATGGTTTCTCTCCGGTGTGCACTCGCAAGTGAGTCTTCAGATTCCAGGACATGCCGAATTGTTTTCCACAGTAGGTACAGCGATATTCACGGACGGGATTGCATTTTGGTGGATCTTCGGTGGAGGGAGGGGGTGGGGCTCGAGCTGGAGGAAGGGTCCAGGCCCCCCAAGGTGGCTCGAGACCGGCGGCCGACGCTGGGTCGGCACTGGGAGGGCGGTGGGAACCTCCTGGTGGTGTTATTGATCTGTCCTGCTGGAAGAAGAAATAATTATTTTGTTAGATGTGCAATTTTTGATCATGCAGAAATCAACACTGAGAGAAAAACGGCCGAGTTCTCAAACAAGTCTTACTTGTGCCAAAAAAAATCGTTTGTTGAAAATTATCAGAAAAATATTTTCTTGTGCCAATCAGGCGAAGCGTGCGCCGTGAGTGAAAATTTTTATTGCAAAAATATATTGTTTTTTCAAAAAAAATTTATCCTCTGCGCAAGCAAGAAATGTAATTTCTAGCACTATTTCTTCGTTATTCAAGGTTCTCATACGTATTTTGCTCCCGGCAAATGCTCAATTTATATGAAACGATTTCTTGATAAACAGCCCTCGATAAAAGATATTTTCATCCTGAAAACGCACCGTCTTGTATGAATGATCCGCCTTATTCATGTTTGATACTTTTAGTTCGAACCAAACAATTATTTTTTTCAGTAATTTTCAACTAAAAATTTTGTTGGCCCCAACACGGCTTGTTTGAGAAGTTGTGCGTTTTTCTCTTAGTGATGTTGGAAATTGCTTTCGTCCAGGGATAGCCATATTCATCAATTATAATTACTGTTAAATTATGAATTTATCAATTAGTTAATATCACTTTGAAATTTTATTTGTTGAAATAATCATCAATTTAAATAGTCAAATGTTGAATTATTCATTAATCAGTAATTGAGGTAGGAAGATTGACGATTATTTGAATAATCGGAAATGCCTCATAACAAATGAAGTATTATTTATTTAATAGAAAAAGAGTTCCATATTTTCAAATATTTAATTCATCATCAATTGAAAATGTAGGTTATCAATTATTTCACTATTTTTTAATTTCTATTAGTAAATTTAAACGTTGATCTACGTAAGTTGAAAAATCCTTTTAATATTGAAGAAATTAATATTGATGGCCATCCCTCCTGCTTTTGTCACAGCATCATCAATACATTTTTGCTATTTTCATTTTCAATCGTTGGAAGTGGTTTTGGGCCATATTTCGGCCAGCAACAGTCAAAATGATCACAAGAATTTACTCAACAATTTGCACGACGTTTCGAACGCTCAAGGCCCTCCACCTCAGGTACATGTTTTATTCAACTAATCAATCCATAAGGCAACAAATCGAGAATCCATTGTGTATAATCAATGCAAGTAAATATCGATATAGCTTACACACAGCTTAAAATGCTATCACTAATTTTGAAGATGAGAAGACTATTGTCATCATATGTCGTATTTAAATGTGTCATAAATAATTAAAACCCAACAGTTTGTGGGTAATTAATCATGAACTAAATATTACATCATTATAAAATTATCAATGATAACTGAGAAAAGGAAACCTGCGTATTTTTGTGTCAGCAAATAAAACTGGGTGAAGTCCGTTCTCAGCAATTAGCAATTTGCTTTCGAATGGAATGACGATGTATTTTAAAGTGAATTCAATGATTCATTGAATTCAACATTGCACCAACGTAGATCATAAACACAGATCACGTGTAATTTTTTCGATGAACATGTTTTTTGCCCCGTTTTTTCGTGTTTTTTTCTCGCACAGAAATTACATTTATTGCACTTCATATGCATCACCATTAGTTCCTGCTGATGATTCATTGAAACAAACGGTTGATGGGATTTGAAAAAAAAATCCCATCCCAACAGTTTGTGTTCGTAAAGTGTAGAGAATACTCACTAAATACGGTGGTGCTGATACACTCAGCGGATGGGGAGCCGTTAGCCTCCTAGGCGTTTCGAACCCAGGATTAAACGGTACAAAAGCTGGATTTTGTGCTGGAGAATTATGAAAACCCGGTCGACGTTTACGATGCGGTGTTACCACGTATGCCTCAGCTGGTGCTAGTGGAATTTCCTCGGGTTTTCGTTTTCCGGGTTCCAAACCCAACGACAAACGCGCTGCCAACTGTCTCCGCCTCTCTTCCGCCTCTTCCATAGACTCTCGCCTCTCCAAAAGTGGTTTTTCTGACCTGAATATAGTGATTGGGTTGAGAATTATATTCGCAATTCCGTAAGACACATTTTAAATATTTCAATTACCCAATGGTAAAACGTGGTAAATAAAAAAGCTTGACTTCAGGGAGAGCTTTTAATTTATATTTTAAAATCTGAGGGAGGTAGCAATATTTTTTGGACACTTTTTTGTAGAGGGTAATGGTTGTTATACAGGGAATACATTCGATGAAATTGCTTGATACAAGACATTATTTTCTTGTCAATTTTAAAAATCGTGAAATCTTCTAATAAATCTATATTAGTGTTCATTTCCATGTTTATTTCAATTATATTAGATCATGAGAAATTGGCAAATCAGTACACCATTCTAACGCATAGTCAATCTATCATAGTGTTCTGATAAATAATTTCGTTCGCAGACTGAGAGAAAAAAGTTTTCCAACAGGATGAGATCCTCTTGTCCCGACAGAATTTTTGAGCGTTCTCAAGACTAAAAATTATGTCCTTCCTATAAATTCATGTAGTCTGCATTATATCTAGACTCATAGAAAAAATTATTTTTATTGAGATGTTTCGTTCTTGGAACAAGTGTTATATAGTTGAACCAATTTCAAATAAATAAGATCTTACGGTGAATATCAATTATTTCTTCTTGAGATACATTTACTTGAATCAAATAAAACAGTCCTTGGCGTCAAGTCACATGTATTCATCACAAAAATGGAAAAGTTCAATTTTTTTTTAACCTAATATAATCTCCAGTCGAAAAATGTTCTACTTTCATGAATTGATCAAAAATTCGTACCTAGGAGATGATTACATTGAGGAAGAAATTGAATGTTGTTTTCTCGAATGAAGACGATGTTTAAATTGAGCTTTCTGTACATCACATTGAACAAAATTTGTGATATTCAAGTTCGTGTAGAATTACCGTAATCTGTGATTCTGTTATTGTAAACTAATGCGATTCTTTTAGTCAAGAAATATAAACTTCTTTCAACTCAACGACATCTTACTAGAATCTCAAAGCTGTTTCCGCGTAACAATATTGATCCTGATTCGACATACGAAATGCTCACTTCAATTATAATTCACTTGGAACAGCATATCAGTCATGAGAATAATTTTGATTTTTGAGTAAACCAACTGATTTCTGGAGTTGGCAAAGGTTTGGCCAGAAAAAAAACCAATAACAATAACAATAACATAATAATAATGAGACAATAACTCTCATTATTGTGATAAATAAAAGGAAGTTTAATAATAGAGAAGTTTGATTTCTCCCAATCAAATGCATCTCAAGACGGGATAACCGGTATTCACTATGAGATCATGGTTATTCTTCTGTCAGCGTAGAATTTTTTTACCACCAGGACTTTGATTACATAAAATCTTGCACAAAGAGCACAACACTTGAGATCAATTTTCCATATACTTGAATTGATAATGAAAGTGTCCGTCATGCAATCGAGACAAGAATTCCTCAGTTGGAGATGATGAGGGATCAGATCCGGGAAGTGAGAATTCTTTATTCGTTTTATTGATCAATCACTTCCAGATGATTGACAAAATAATTTACCTGTGGGTACCGTCATGAGAGCTTTCGCTCTTCGTCGACGTTCCGGAGTTGAGACTAAGATTGACTGGATCCGAACTGTCCCTTCTCCTCGGAGGTTCGATACTACTTTCTCGATTATCTGATAGCATCCCATCACCCTCCATCCCCTCAACATCAACATCCTGTTCCACTTCGTCTTCATCACAGCCCTCACTCTTGATGAGCACCGAACAGCAATCAGCGGGATTATTCGACGCTCTGAAAGTTCCAAATTGATATTAAATACCTGTCAAATTGAACAGTGATGCAAGTTTATGGGAGTGAGTAGATAAAAACCGTTTATCGTACTGTGACTCATAACTGGAGCTCTCCTGACTGTCTGATGGCTGCGGTGTGGTTATCCTCAGTGGATCCGAGTCGGACGATGTCTGAGGCTGATTCGGATCGAAGAGCGCCGATTTTATTTGAAGAAGGTCAAAGAGTTCACGCAAGGGAGTCAATTCCGCTGACTGAAAGAGGCAAATAGGCTTTTTTTATGAGTGCGTTAAAGAAATTTGCAATGATTACTAAATCTACAGTGGAATTATGAAGTATGGAATCATTTCGATGATGCGTCATTTCAGACGAAAATTTTTGGAGATGTGTTTTTGTTTGATTTGCTTTCGAGATGAATTCCCAGAGAGATTTTCAAGTTAAATTGCAAAAGTCTCAATTTGAGTCTATTAAAGTCTCAAATTGAAACCTTGAATAGTCTCCAATTGATACCTTCAAGCCTCAACTCGAGACTTCGAATGTGTCAAATTAAGATCTTCCGAAGTCTCAAATTAAGGACTAGTTTCACTAAAGACAAGAGTTTATATAGCACATCTTGTGACGTCACAGGATATATATTGTTGGATAGGATTTTGGAGTAGATAGGAACCAGGATCATTCTCGATGTCAATCCCCAAGCATAATTAGACCATTCCTGACTTTGAATGTCTCAAATTAAGACCTTTCAAAGTCTCAACTTTAGATCTTCACAAGTATTGAAATGAGCAACAACAATACGATCATATTACTGAACTATATTACTTAATTATTGAACTATGAGATCACTCTTCCTGGAGAGACAGTCTGGCTGGTCTTACGACGAAACTAGAAACGAATGTTTGCTGAATAATATGAACAAATGACCAAGCCTGGAAAGAGAGAAACCATGGTATCGTTGCTATGGTCTTTGTGACTCCATCATTCCTTATTCAGTTCTTCGACTGATCTCGAAGCGAGAACACATTTTAATAAAAGTTCAGTTGGTTATATAAAACGTCTTTTATTTAATCTACCTGGCTTCCACAAAACCAATGAGAAACATTAAATTGAAATTTCCAAGTCTCAATTTGAAACTCTTTAAACTCTCAACTAAAGACGTTCAGAATTCAAATCAAGACTTTTGAAAGTCTTATTTTGAAATTTTTAACATCTTAACCCGTCAGCACTCACGCCATTTCCGCGAAAACCTGTACTCGCGCTAGTTAGACAGAGAGGTCCGAGCTACCCATGGGACTAGTTTAGTTGCCGAGTATCACCGAATGCCTCACGGAACCGCTCGATGCGAGCGAACCACACAGTCGACTTTACTCGCGTCGCGAGAGAATCTCACACGCTCCTCGTCCGAGCTCGATAAAATATTCTTTTATAATTTATTGAAACATCTAGCACGGTTTTTATTGACCCCAGAGGAAAGAGGAATAATTACTTGAGGCAATCAAAGAGTTTTAGTCCAAAATCCTAATTTTTTTATTATGTTCCCTATACCCTGAAAATTTTTACAAGAGAAAGCCATATAGCGTTAGTGATGCCGCGAGACGCGAGAGAAACGAGACGAGACGAAAGACATGACGAGACATGACGAGACATGACGAGAAAAGCCTAACGAGAATGAGAGAAACGAGAGACGAGACAAGAGCCGAGAGAGCCTCCCCCTCTCCGCTCCTCTGTGTATTTTTTTCCGTGCAAATTGGATTGTAGAGACGAGATTAGACGAGATGAGACGAGACGAGAGAAGAAATTGCTCTCGTATTTCGATACGAGACGAGACGAGACGAGACGAGAGAATGGTTTCCTAACAACGAGACGAGAAGATGCATTTTCTCGTCTCGTCTCGTCTCGCGGCATCAGTGGCGCGAGTGCTGACGAGTTAAAAAAAAGTATTATTTTTTTTAGGGCATCCACAAAAAAATAAATAATTGATTAATTGGACTCACAGGTATCACAGCTTCGCCATTGTACAAAATTTCAAGTAAATGATTGAGCTGTGTCTTCCTAACTCCAGACAAATGAACAACATGATCAAGCGCTGGATTACGAAGGAGACTAGCCAATAGTGGACTAGCAGCCGCCAAAACAACACGATGCGCCCTGACAACTGAGCCATCGTCACATGCCAGTGTTACATCAACGTGACGATCACCGCTGTACCATGCCCCGACCTCAGCGGCCAAGGTGGCGGGGTGTTTCCCATAGTGGAGTGTCAGAAGACCGTCTGTATACATCGTCTGAAAGAAAAATAAGGATAAATAATGAATAAATAAATGAATAAGGCATTGAGAAACGTTTAAAAAAATACGATTAAATTCCGATTAAAATTTTCACGAATTCGTGCGGAAATCGATTATCTCTTCACTGAATAATATTTCATCCTTTCATATTTTTTTCCATCAAATCAACCCATCAATCAATCCCTGACCTTCGCTTCGTTTCGAAACATTACCATGACGCTATTACATAATCCATAATTTCCGCCTTTATTTTTTTTCTCCTATTACACTGAGTCATAGCGTAACCGTGACGGATAGAAAAAGAAATACTTGATGTTTAGAACTGAATAGTTATTCTCGCATTTCTCAGTTAATCGTGGTGAGGTTGATAAAAGGGGGGGGGGGATATCGTGAGATCCGTTGCGAAAAGTAATGTCTTTAATTTAATAATAATTAAGACACTTTCATCCTCTTTCTTTTTTCCTAAAGAAAGATATCCAGAGTTTCTGTATGCTAATATTAAGGGGAGACTATTAATTCTAATCAACTTTGTTCAAAGAAAACCTGAGTAAACGCAATATTAAGTATGTTTAGCCATTTTCAGCAAATCTTATTTTTTCATGTTTAAGGAAAATTCTATAATATTTGGCTGATAGCAGAACATATAAAACTAACTTCCTTGATGTTAAAAAAAAATTAATCGCAATAGTCACGCCAGAAATAAACAAACAAATTTTCCCGTATACGCGGGGTCTTATGGGATTAATGTTGAAATTTATAATTCACCTACTATAAGAGTCTAAAAATAAAAATAAAAATAAAACGTAATGTGCAAAACTATACTGAATCGAATGGTCAGAAACAATTTGGGGTAAAAACAGGAAATATTACGCAATATACGCATGCGTTTGATGCATTTTGGTCACTCCATTTCTAAATAATAAACGTGGGCTTGTGGATTGAAATTTTTATCAAGATAAAGGGAATAACTTCATCTCTCAGTTGAAAGAAAATCAATTTTTTTGAATACTTGCGATTTTGATAAACATCCTTGAAAATTCGACGCAAGACACTTGTAGTCATGAAAACCGCCTTAGCTTCTCCATTCGTTTCAGTTCTCATTTTTGATTCGAAATATTGCCCTCGATTTTTTTGAGAAAGGATTTCTCTCCGTGTACTCGAATCATTACTTGTTCTACGGATGTACACTGAGAGAAAAACGACAAAGTTCTCAAACAAGTCTTACTTGTGCCAAGAAAAAAGTTTTTTGAAAATTATCAAAAAAGGATTTTTTGTGCCAAACATACAGAGAGTGCGCCGGAATCAAAAGTTTTTGTCGCAAAAATAGATTTAGTAGTTTAAAAAAAATTGCACTCTCTGCACACGCAAGAAATGTCATTTCTAGCACTACTCCTTCGCTATTCGATACTCCCATACGTATTTTGCTCCCGAAAAATCTTTATTTTATGCGAAACAAGGGACAGCAGTTGTTCGTTTCGGCTATTTAATAATCACAGACAAGAAGTGAACACTTCAATGAAACAATAATAATGATATGATAGCAATCTTGTAACTTAAGGATTAAATATTTGTTAATAAATTTTCCTCTATATGAGATATTTTCATCCTGAAAAGGCACCGTCTGGTGTGAATTATCCGGCTCTTGAGCCAAATATTTTGTTGCTATCGAAAGCAGAAAAATTATTCATGTTTGAGACTTTAAAATTCGAACCAAACAAATTCTTTGTAGGCAATTTTCATTAACGATTTTCACTAGCGATTTTGTTGGCCCAAACAAGACTTGTTTAACAACGTGTCTGTTGTTCTCTCAGTGTAGATATCAATGAATAGTATATTACGCACGAGTTTCGTATACTATTTTCCGGGAACCGAATTTCTGTGGTTCCCGGTAGCTTAGTCGGTAAGAGTGCCCGGCGCGTATCTGGGAGACCCGGGTTCGATTCCCGGCTGGGTGAAGCGGAAATTTTTTCTCTCTAAATTCTAATTCTCTTAGAATTTTTTTTTTTTTTTTTTTTTTTATGAAACACACTTTTTGAGATTTTTATCTCGCTTCGCTCGGTAGAATCGCGTGATTCTGGGCACCTATGGCATAAATTTTCATTATGTGCCCTAATTCTAACATATCGTCAATGAACTAACATTCTCGTGAAACTGGATCGTCTCATGAAGCCGTTACTTCACGACTCCGTTAGGACGCTTATACAATCCATTGAACAATCCATGACTTATCGATACTAAAACATTGAAGATGACTTGCAGCAGTAAAATCGCACTGTAACTCAAAGTGAGATGAATTAATTGTGTTAGCTGCAAATAATTTATATTACCCCATTAATGCCCAGAATAAGTAATTATTCTCCGGCCGATAAACATGTGTTTTATTATATGCGATGAGTCAATTTCGAACCGCTATTATGTATGAGACGCAATTTACCTGTCACGAGCATCGCATTGGTTGTCTTAACACTATTACAAAATGAGAGGAGAAAAAACTTGCGTCTCACGGAAATGAAAAGTATTATCGCCCTCTCTGTCGAGAGATCGCGCATCGTTTGTTAATACCGAGTGAGGGAGAGGAATGAGGAGGAGATGACCTTCGATCGGTGCGATGTGTGATGTGTGTTGGCAATTGGAAAGGGGAAGACCTTGGGTAGAGAGTCACGAAGACTAAGCATCACATGGACGGGGGCCAGATGTCTTTGTAATGCTGCATATTTCTAGGAGATGGGTTTGTATGTATCGTAACGATGGGCGGCTTGTTCGCACCATTGGTGCATCAATGAGACTGGGTATCTGTATGTGTGAGAGGAGAGTGCATTGATGGAGTGAAGGCAATTGCTGGAAAAAAATAACTTGTTGAGAAATCACGTGGAATTTTAGTGCGGTTTGAGTTGATCTCATTTTTCAGGATTTTATTTTTTACATGGGGAGGAATGCATTCCTCTGGGTAGTGCGGGTGGGTGGCATGCTCAATGAGGTTCTTAGAATGGAAAATTATGAAAAAAATTGAATATAATATAGAACACGTTGAGAATAAGCCCCAGAGGCGAAAATAATGGATAAAATGACGTTGTGCGACTTTTTAGAAAAAAAAATTCTGGATGAATTGCTCTCTGCCAGGATTTATTGAATCGATCGACACAAAATTTTATACACAAGTGGGACTCAATAATACTAATTAGTATTCTCTTAGAGAAAAATGAAATTTTATGGACTGTTGAGTACTAATTTTTAGGAGAGTCACAAAATTGAGTCAAATGTCAGAATTTTAAACAGCATAAAGACGAGAATTCCTTAACTTATTTGAATTTTCAATCTAATATGAATATTCAGTGCCAAATTACATTGAATTTTCAATGAAATCTGAAATTTCATGATTCTTTTTCACCTAAATTGCATTCAATGTCGCTATCCTGAAACTTCCAGAATATATTTACCAGAATTTTCTGTTTTTCTATTCATGTTCAGAGAAAAATTGATTTGAAATTTATAGTTCATTTTGATTTTTCCACGAAATCCTGAATTTTCAATGACGAAATTCCTTGAAATTTCAGTGGTAATTAAATTCGATAAAAATTTCCGAAGAGTACCGGAAATTTCAGACCAAAATGTTTAACAGTGTAGCTAGAACCTCAGATGTTTATTCCAAGTTTTACGCTTACTATGGAAAGCCACATTAACTTTCAATTGAAAAAATTAGAAAAACGCGAATATCTCGAGAGCTTTGTATGATGATATGGGTATTCATATTTTGATTGATCTTGATAGGGGGCGGTAAGACGAGGATTTTGAAAAAAAAAAATTCGGAACAGTAGTTTGAGACATATATATAAAGGCCACACTGTTGCTAGTTATATAGCAATATTGTGACTTGATTTGATAGACATTATCGCAAGGAATATTTTGATCTCAAAATTAATAGACGATTGAAAATATCTGGATTGAGATGTCACAATGCAGACGTTTCTTCAGTTAGCAGTAACTCCTCGAATTTTTTATGTTTTTTCAGAATGACATGATACATATCAAATATTTTTTCGTCAGTTTTTATATTCCATCATTTAAATTTTTCCATTACCATATACCTTTCGATTTCTTACGGATTTTCACTTTTCCAGCAGCATATTGATTCCTAATGCTTCTTCCAACTTTCGAAAAACTCTAACTCTTCCAGAGGTGTTCCCTCGCAGCTACCCATCCTTCTAGTGACCACGCCCAGCTCTGCTTAGCTTCCCAAAGTTAAGCCGGCCCACCATTTTTTTTGGTACAAAATTCAATTTTATTCAACCAAATATACATTTATCGAACTTATAAGCGAAATAAATTTGTATAAAAAACACTTAGAGATAATTTTTTTTTCTTTTGACGCATGTGCCTAACAGTGGACAAGGATCTCAGGGTCTTTGTGTTACTCGAGAGTTTATGAACATTAGTGAGCAGCATATATAAAAAAAAATTTATATGAGCTTGGTGCGGAGACACTCAGACAACCTGGCACTATCAGTATAAGTCATTCGGCAAAAATGGTTGTGAAAAAAAAACCCTTGACGAGATCTTTAATATATATAGCGGATATAGAGCGGAATTCAGACAACTTTTTTTTTCACCTTATGTGAGCTCAAAAATGATGATTCGGGGTTAAATCACTGACATCAGTCTACTCTGTAGTTATTGCTATCTTGTAATCTAAGGGAGATAGGAGAATTTTGATAAGGACCTTTTTGTAGAGAATTTCAAGGGCTATAAAAAAGGTAATTATAAAAATTTTGCTATCTTCATTGTAGAAAAGATAATTCAAGGTTACAAAACTGAAGAAAAACATGATGTCTGTAAATTCAATTATAGAGTAATAGACGATTATAGATAAATAAATAAGACCTTTGGAATATTATTATTGTTCTATGAATAAATTGAATATTAAAAAAAGGTCCTATAGTTTTTGGAAACCAAAATTCTTTACCGTTCCATTTTGCCCTATTCTCCCCTTTTCTTGAAAA